AAGAATAAATTACATTTTCTAAAATCAGATAAAATAATTGTAAAATGTCAACATGATAGAGCCATTAAGTCTTCCAATAGCAGCACACATATTGGCACATATAGCCAATGGAGAACATAGTGAAACAAGTAATGTTTATTTCAGTGGCCCCAACTCATTAAGAAAAGGTTTCAGCATATTCTGCTTTAGAGAAGTAGAGACATAATGGGGATTCTTCTCCATCCAAGTGTTTGTGTGATAAGAATTTTAGCATGAAGTGCTGTACAGTTTAGTTATTTGGGGGGAATACTGATGTGGACTATCCTCTGCATGTGGGAGAAATGTGTGTTACCTCCTTTTGTATCTTCCACATGGCCTTCCCATGTCCAGAATAATGCAGGCTGACTGACCATAGACTGCCTTGACCTGGTACAAGCTCTGAATATCATCAGGCACAGGTCTGCCAGATTCCTTTCTGCCTAGAAGACCTGAGCCTCCAGGAAGTCACTGCAACCCCCTTGTCCTAAGATGGCTGCCCTGAGGTCAGCTAGTGAAAGTCACCCGATCCTGAGACAGAAATTCACCTCCCCAGGCTTAGAGGCTGCAGTGGTGAGCAGGAGGAAATGCAGGGGAAAGAGAAGAGGCTGAGAGGGCAAAGTTTAATTTCTCATTGGATATCAGAGAGTGTTTCCCCTAGTTGTTCTAATACCACAGAGACTCCAAGGATTCTTTGCTCTTTGGAGCAAAATTCTGAAAAATTCTTTCAGTTGGTATTTTCCTGGGTTAGTCTCAGTGGACAGATTCAGAGAGCAAAATAAAAATCGCACTAACCTAGCTGCCGTGTGAGGCTCTTCGTGTTAGCTGACTCATGTTTTTTTCCTGATGATTTCTCTGTTATCAGGTATATGAGGGGATTACAGCAACATGGCCCAAGCTAGAATGAGGCTCTTTGTTTAAATCCTGATGCAACAAAGACTGTTTCTCAGGATATTAGTGTATTAGAACAATTAACTCTAAACTATAACATTTTGACATGGTAATTTTAAAAAAAAGGATGGTTTTATTATTCCTCTTCCTGTAAATCCTTTTTTTTTTTTCTTTTTTGAGAGGAAGTTTTGTTCTGTCACCCAGGCTGGAGTGCAATAGCACGATCTTAGCTCACTGCAACCTCTGCCTCTAGGGTTCAAGTGATTCTCCTGCCTCAGCCTCCTGAGTAGCTAGGATTACAGGCACCTGGCACCACGCTCAGCTAATTTTTTTGTATTTTTGGTAGACACGGGGTTTTACCATGTTGGCCATGCTGGTCTTGAACCCCTGACCTCAGGTGATTCACCCACCTTGGCCTCCCAAAGTGCTGGGATCACAAACATGAGCCAATGCGCCCAGCCCTCTTACTATAAATCTTGAGCAAAGCTGTCACGAGATTTTTGTGTGATAGAATTATTTGAATAATATTATGTGCAGGCAGGTAACATTTGAAGATACTGGGATTTGAAAGACAATGATGAGCCAACTGGTGACCCTTTGAAATATGGAAACAGAGAATGTTGAAAATGGATGAAACCCCCTGACTCATTCTACAGATGGTTTGGAAAGATTAAGTGATACAAACAAGATCTTCTTCTGTGCTTCTCTCCATCTCTCCCTGTCTTCTTTGCACTCTCTTTTTCTCCTTCCATCCTATTTTCCTTCTCTCCCTTCTTTTCTCATCTTGTCTCTTTCATTATTCTCCCTTCCCCCATCCTCTCCTTACCCTAACAATTATTGAAGAGTTAAAGTGTGCCAACATTGGACCATGTGTGTTTTAGTAATTATATGTGGAATTTAATAATTCTAATATGTATATTTTAATAGTTAATATTTGTGTCATCATTCATTTAAAGAAACTGAGGCTTGGCACACTTAAGTAACTTGCCCAGTGTCACACACCTTGCAAGTAAAGTCTGACTCCAGAGCTCCTACTGTGTACCTGGTACATACATAGTGAGTGTTCTGTTGTGTCAGTGATGAGCTTATGATGATATTGGTGCTGATGGTGAAGAATGCAAAGAATAGAATGCAGAACAGTCTGGTGATTTGCTCAGTGTCACACAGTAGCCAGTGGCACTGGAATTTAACTTGCCCAGTTCTCTGATTCCAAGCCACTCTTCTCTCTGCAGTGCCAGGTTGCTGAATATATGAAAAAAACAAATAGTACACTAATTTCTAATTACCTCCTGTCCAGGATCTGAATTCTCACTTTATTTGAAGTTTCTTCTTCCTCCTCCTCCTCCTTTTCCTCCTGCTCCTCCTAAACATGTTTATGGAGTATGGGCTCCTATCCTGTTCCTTCTCCACCATCACCATTACTTCTACTTCTACTACTACTACTTTTTCTCTTTTTTTTTTTTTTTTTTTTTGAGATGTAGTTTCACTCTTGTTGCCCATGCTAGAGTACAATGGCACGATCTTGGCTCACTGCAACCTCTGCCTCCTGGGTTCAAGTGATTCTCTTGCCTCAGCCTCCTGAGTAGCTGGGATTATAGGCATGCACCACCACGCCTGGCTAATTTTGTATTTTTAATAGAGACAGGGTTTCTCCATGTTGGTGAGGCTGGTCTCGAACTCCTGACCTCAGGTGATCCACCTGCCTCAGCCTCCCAAAGTGCTGGGATTACAGGCATGAGCCAACATGCCCAGCCTTGAAGTTTTAAACAGAACTGATAAGGGACAATGACCAAGAAACTGGTTTAGACTAATACTTGTTTCTTTACAGAGAGAAAAAAATCTAATATACTATTATGTACTTCTCGGACTCCTTTTTTTTCTTTTTTGAAGACAGAGTTGTGCTCTGTCACCCGGCTGGAGTGCAGTGGCACAATCTCGGCTCACTGCAACCTCCACCTTCTGGATTCAAGCGATTCTTCTGCCTCAGCCTCCCTAGTAGCTGGGACCACAGGTGTGTGCCACCATGCCCGTCTAATATTTTTGTATTTTTTTAGTAGAGACAGAGTTTCACCATGTTGGCTGGGATGGTCTTGATCTCTTGAGCTCGTGATGCATGTGCCTTGCCTCCCAAAGTGCTGGGATTACAGGTGTGAGCCACTGCACCCTGCCAACTCCTTTTTTTTTTTAAGCCTTTGTCATCAGGAAGAATTTTAGTTTTAAAGCACTGTGGGGTATTACACTGAATCTATGGTTGCCCTGTATCAGAAGTCATTGTCTCTTTTCCCGACATGAGGCCAATAGCTCAACCTCAAGGTTAACTGGCCATTCGGGGCCTGCATGGGTCATGAGTGTTGGTGATCCTTTATAGCAGTTAGCCTTATGGGAGAGAGACCAGGACTCAGGCTGTCAATCTATAGTGGCTGCTGTTGCCTCCCCTTTCCTCCACTTTTGAAAGCTGCCTGGGGCTGGGTGTTGGCTGCCATTCTGCCATGTGCAGGTGGCTGGACTGGACTGGCTAATCCAGTCTGCATCCACAGCAGTTTTAGAAGAAAAAAGACATTAGACAGTCAGCCCACAATTTTCTTACCTCCCTGGCCTTCTTTTTTCATTTCAACTTGATGAAATTGTATCTCTGTTCTTTTCAAGGCTTAGCTCATTCCTTCAAGAACTCTTCTTTGCTTCCCACTCCACAGCTCCAAGCTGAGAATAATGTCACCCTCAGGGAAGTTCCCCAAACATCCTGTAGCTCCCTAATCACTCTTGTTATTCTCTGCCTAGTATATTTGTGACCATCTCCTGGTCTCCATTACAATATAAGACTTAGAAAGTAAAGACTGAGCTTTGCCAATCTTCTGTTTGCTTATGACTTGTAGGACAATGACTTTTAGGTATTTGGGGCTCAATGCTTTTAGATATTATTGAATTTTTAGGCAAGTATACACCAAATGGTGACAAAGGCTCAGAAAGACAGGAACAGCTGCCAGATTCCTTTTTCCATGTTCTGTGTCAGAGATTCATCCTTTAATTTATGGCTTCATTTAAGAAAAGGACAACTTCTAAACTGAGGGTTGGCATACAATGGTCTTTCAGCTACATTCAGCAGTGATCTAAGAATGGTTTTTATATTTTTGAGTGATGGGAGGGGGAGACAGAACAGAAAAAGAATAATATGTCAATGCTCATTCAGATTATATTAAAATTTATATATAAAATTGAAATTATATGAAATTTAGATGTCATTTTCCATGAATAATATTTAATGAAATACAGTCATACCCTCTTTGAGTATGTGTGGCCTAAGACCAGTTTTACACCAAACAGCAGACTTGAGTAGTTACAACAGGGACGTACATCCCATGAAGCCTAAAATATTTAGTGTCAGGACTTTTAATAAAAAATGTGCCAAGCCCTGTTCTGTGTCATGCCCAGAAATGTGTACCACTCTGTGAAAGAGTTGGGGAGCCCTTCAGGTAAAGGGCAGAGTGGATACAGGCACAGACGGCCTAGAGGAAAAGGAATCTGGAAACAAGAAAAGGAAGAAAGGGGAGGCAGAGTCATACTTGCGGACATCAAATCTTCTGGGTTTTATATACATACATTGCAAACATCTCCACAAAGGATTCTTATAGTTGGTGGGTATGCCTAAGGGGCAGATATTGGGTGTTTTACAGGAGCTTCCTGCTCTTCTAAAAGGATTCTGCATGGCTCCTTTGAAGAAATGATGATATTAGGAGATTATCATTCATTTCGGATCATTCTATGTATGACAACTAACTAATATTTTCAGTAAGGTCTAATGGGCTTTGTGTCTTAATTGTCTCTGATTCAACCATAATGTGTGTGTGTGTGTGTGTGTGTGTGTGTGTGTGTGTGTGTGTGTGTATGTGTGTTTATTTCTTTGAGGGAAATCTCTTTTAGATAGATGCTAATTAATTATGTATATAGGGATCATTAAACATTTGGAGTTTTCGAGTAAAGAGACATTAACCGGAACTTGGCTAAAGCCAGTTCAGCCCCTTGGAGAGTTGTAATGACAGTTCTTTTTGTTTAGAAATGTATCATTTTCATGTGTTTCTCTTATTTTCTTATTGCAGGGTAATGCCCTGTACTTCAAATCGGCCAGAAATGTTACAGTGAACATTCTCAATGACCAGACTAAAGTGCTAACTCAGCTGATAACAGGTAAGAAAAGGGAGAACTTAGCAGTGCCTGCCACTTAGAAAACAGAATCAATGGTTAAAAGAAACACCATATAAACTTGAAAGTAAAGTCTGCTAACACATCACGTTGAGAAAGAGAATGTAGCACGTGTTCCATGATTCTACTAGAGGGTAGAATCCCATCTGTACACCTATTACATTTATGATATCCGATGATACCTACTTAGTGGGGTAAGAAAAGCAGGTTTTCACAGAACATGGCCCCTAAATATAAGCCAGCTGCTTCATCTGGTGCTCAGCCAAAGAAACGCTTCTTGCTCCAATGCTGGAGGAAAAAAACAGGCGGTGTTGGACTGGTTGAGAGAAGAACACATATCTACAAAGCCAGGGACCATACTTTATGGGCTGTGAAAGGGATTCTTAACGACAGTTTGAACCCATGCCATATTTGTTGTATGTGCTGACTTTGAACCTAACTCAATTGCAAGATGTGGATGTATCTTTACTGAGTATATTTGTGTTTGATTCCTTTTAATATAACAGATCTGTGCCTAACAGCTGTGGAAAGCACCCACTGGGTTTTAAGCTACACATTCCTGAAATCTAAACAAGGACTGGTTATTCACAATAACAATTATAATGATAAACGTGGACCTCGTGAGTTAATAATGTGTTGAGCAGCACAGTCAGTGCCCACTCTGTAGGTAATAAGCAGCAGTGAACAGGGAGGCATTATGCACCCCCACAGTGGGAGGGAAAAGGAATGTATGTCTGAATGGCATTGTTATACTTACAGACAGAAAATGCCATTTGTTTGGCTTCAGGGCTAAGAGAAAAGTATACAGATGGACGTTTTGAGAAGCCAGTTACCCAAATGCTTTGAAACATTACTGTTATTGTACATAAAATATCTGGAACTCACCAATAAACAAGCCATGGGGAAACAAGTACATTTGTGCCCAGAGTCTTCACTGCTGGGAGGCAGCCTCACTCCTGCTCTGCCCCTGGAGTGCTGCATATGGATATCTAGAGATTCACAGCCAGTGGGTGACATGGCCCATCCGCCAATCAAGAAACTCAGGGATTGAAGGAACTGCTGCCCGGCAGATCCCATAATCCATAAACATGTTGTTTCAGTGTGTGACTGCATCTTCTGCCTTGCTTATATAACATCTGGCCTGCAGTCACAATGCTAAATAATTAAATAAACAGCTTCAGTAAGCAATGATTTAAGCAGCATGTGTGGAAATTGCCTCCAGGAGGGAAATAAATCCAACGTCCAGCTCCCAGATCCCCACATTCAAAAGGAACTTATTTAGCCTGTTGATCATTTGCCATTTATTTGCAAAGGGAGATTTGGTTTACTTGAGAGATTTTGTTTTGATAAAGCTGGAACTGCCCAAATGACTATTATTCAGCAAAAGACTGAGTCAGTTTCTCTCTTTTCTTTCCCCCACCTCTTCTTTTCCTTTCTCCCCTTACTCTCCCCCGACACCCCTTTTCCCCTCCCCTTCAGCACTTCTCTCCCTATTCCTTCTCCTCTCTCCTCCCACCCCTTTATCTCTCTCTCCTTCCCCTTCTCTTCTGTCTTCCTCTTCCTCTCTTCCCTTCTTTCTTCCTCCTCCTCCCTCCTCCTGTGCCACTATTCTTGACTCTATCCCTCCAGTGGTATTTGTTTTCTGTCTCCCTACAATAAATTCTAGAGAAGGTAATGGATATGTTTAAAACATCATTCTAAACACACACACACACCCTTAAAAGTTTTCCTTCAATACTCTTCTTTCACATTCATTCACACAGTGAAAAAGCGCCCAGCCATCCCGGCAGACCTACCTTCTAATGTCTGTTGTGTTGAGTGGTGTACTGACTGGAAAACGAATCACTCCTGTCTTCGAAGCAGTGAGGCCTACGGCAACCTGAGGAATGAAGAATTCCTCTACTTACCTAAAGAATGCCTCAAAAGCCCATTCAAAGTTCTGATGTTAGAGGTTCAGGAGGTCTTTTCACAGGAAACAGTCCTTCATATGACAGTTAAGTTCTCAGTTAGACCGCAAATGCCTATTTAACCATAAGGCAGGCTGCTGATTTAGTATCTCAATAGTGGGTCTGAATGGGAAATCCTCATGCCTGCATGGAGAAAAGCAGTGGAGGTGCTTTGAACAGCATCATGAGGGAGTGGGGAAGGGTCCTAGTATTAAGAGAGTTGGGGAGAGAAATTAGGCTTGAAGACCACTAGGCCTTTGCAGCTCCCAGATTCATGGAGACTGTCGATGTATCCTGATGGGGCTTCAGTTCTCCTCCCTGTTGAGGAGATTAATTAAGGAGGCCCTCCACACATAGACTACATAGAGGGGGATTAACTCAAGATTAGGTTCACATTAGGAATGGTGACTTTTTTCATCCCAGAGAGGAACAGTGAGTTCAGCAAAGGACCTCCTGAGCTGTCTCCAGCTCCATTTGCATTTTTCTCTAGAGTCATTTTTAAGGATTCCAGCCATGTCCAGGGAATTTGGCAGCCCCAGGTGAAATCAACAAAGGACAAGCCGTCTGCACCATTGAGCCAGCAGTTGCTCTGGGGGGTTTTGGCTAAAACTATCAATTACTGAGCTTTAGATACCCAAATTGTTCTGGCTCTTGGTAAATTCCATTTTATGTTCTGTGAAGCCCTGAAAAGCAAGATAACTTAATTGTACCTTATGTTCTCTGACTGCTGAAGTATACTTTCTATACTGCTATAGTCCTTTAGTGTATGCTCCTATATGTATCACAGCTCTTCATGAATTCAAAGTAACACAGGAAGGTGTCCTTAACTCAGGGACCAGGTTGATGATACTGCCAGGTCCACCGAGGAGAATTCCAAGCATGTGTGTCCCCAAGTTATACAACTTCGTTTTCATATGAATGGGTCCAAAATGGACAAACTGTGCTTGTCCTGTTCCCATCCTGAGATCATTCATTCATTTATTAGCACTTCATTACCTTCCCATTTTCAATCTCCCTCCTCACAAAAATAAGGTAATAATCTTAATGTATTAACAAATATAACATAGATTTTATTGAAGGTTTTGATGCAATCAAGAAGATTGCTGCATCTTAGCCTTTGCAGAAAAACTGAAGCCAAATCCCTCATTGGACATCTCGGCTCTTTCAAGATATCCTTCTGGCCCTTGTCTCCAGTTTTCTATTTCTCCTTATCCTCACAGAGCTTTTTCTAGCTGTTCCAGATGTGCTGGCCCCAGCCCCCTCACCCTGCTGTCTCCTTCGTAGACAAATAAATGCCCCTTTCTTTCTGTGGAAAAATTCTCAGAGCTCCATTCTAGACACAGACCTGCCATTGGCTCACTCAGTAACCTTGTGAGAGCCCTCAGTCTGGCCACCATTTGTTCTCCTTACCTGCAGCATCAAAGTGGTCAGACAAGATGATTTCTGGGTTCCATGATGCTTGTAAGTGATGTCCTATTTCTGCTGTTTCAATATCCTACTCATTAGGGAGCCTTTCCAATGTCCTACTTTGTGTTGGAGGGCTGGTATGGATATACTGGCAAGGGATGAGGTCTGCCAGATAGATGTGATTATGTGACTAAGGAAAGTGCATTAATAAGTACTCCTGACACATTCTTCCCATGTGTTGTCACCATTGCCATAGAAGAATAGTGCTGATGATGTCCACAAGAGCGGTATTCTATACTCACAGCACTTTACCACCCATAGATTTGTTTTTATAAACACAATGTCATTTGATCCTTTCAAACTTTCTATAAAGTAGATAGAGGAGGTGATGATAATCCAATGTTATAGATGCAGAAACTGAGGTTCAGAAAGATCAAATGATTTGCCCCAAATCACATTGCCACAAAATGAGAGTGAGTTAGGAAATCATTCGTGTCTTCTAATTCTTAGCTTGGCAGTCATGACGATGAGAAAAGCTACGCCAGACATCCAGTGGCAGGCTCGCACTATCAGCCGGGCCTCAGCATTCTCCTGCTCCGATGTAAATAATTTCACATAACACCAACACCAGGCAAGGCTGTTCTATGGCCGTGATGGGTCAAGACAAAACACAACAGAAACACACAAACACACTCTGATCATGTGTGTACATAGCAAAAATATCAGCATTGTCCAAACCACAAAAAAGACCAAGCATCCTCCTATCCTGGCTAATAGGAGTGCCTCTGTTTCTTTGTTCGTGATAGTTTTAGCAGTTCCCTGGTCTTTCATCTAGATAAGATTTACTCCCATTTCCTGACAGTATTTAATCCAGGATAAAGCCTTGTTTCGTTAAACATTCCCCAAAACAACCTAATATAAGGTCAATTCCTATGATAAGTCCTTTCTCACGGCTTCTTTCTAAGATGCCCTGTGGTTTTCCTTATGGTGTTTGCTGTCCCTCACTGCAATGAGTATAAACCCAATTTGTTCAACAGCAGGTGTGTTCCTAGCGGTCTTTGGCTGGAAGGCACTGGGGACTATCTCATTGCTATTTATTATTAAGTGACACTCTTTTGAAAAATACCAAAAAGAAAACAATTCCATGTCAGAATCTCCTGGATAATTTTGGAAAAATACAAGATTTCTAGACTCTACCCTCCGTTTTTTTCTGAAGGAACTTCTAGATGAAATGATGAATTTCTTTTGATGTGAGCTAGGTTCAGTGAGAACCGTTACACTCCTGGATTCTTCCTCTGCATTTCTGTAGACCAGCTTTTGAGAATCCCCTGAAATTCAGGTATTCAGGTAGATCCAGCTCAGATAGATTAGAATGCCTTCTTTTAAAAATTCTAAATCACCAACCTGTTTTACTTTTTCCAAAATACCTAAAACTTGCAGTTTTCTGGTTCAATAAAAAAATTTTAAATGTATATTGGTGTGTCTTCATCAGAATATAGAAGCTGTAGAATCAGGGGCTTGACTTCTTTATACAGTATTATAGCACCACATTCAAGAACAGCATCTGTTGTCACCTGATAAATCATCTAGATTTAGTTTTCACTGAACAAAATCCTAGCATAAAAGATTAAACAACTTTCTAAGGTAATTAATTACAATAATCATTTCTGCTAGTAACTGATCTATATACTAAGGAAATAGATTTCTCTTGATGTCAAATGCAGCCAGTGGGTTATGGGTACAAAGTGAATCAGATTTCAACTGAATTTTAAAAAGTTATTTCTGACAATTAGGGAGGGCCAAAGATATGTGACTGCCTCGAGAAGTGAGGTAATCACTTTCTTAAGCCTCTGGTGCCTTGATATATGCAAACAAAAATCCACAATTATGTGATGGCAGTTTGGCGGTTAGCTGAGGGAAATCACAGTTAAGCATCAGTTTGGAGGAAGGGCATGCTGGTCTTCAAAACTATAGTGCAAGAGTATATGACTAAAGTAATTTACAAGACCTGGCTACAGTCATGAGACGGATTTTCATGGGCAGCTTTTGAAAACCAGTCCAATACAATCTTGTTAGATGTGTATGTTCTATGAAAGCTCTTTGTAGTCAAAGCAATAAGACTAATATTTTTTTCTCTCTCTCTTTCTCTCTCTCCTTTTTCTCTCTCTCTCTCTCTCTCAGGTCCAAAGTCTGTAGAAGCTTATGGTAAAAAGTTTGAAGTAAAAACTGTTTCTGGAAAATTGCTCTTCTCTGCAGATGATAATGAAGTGGTAGTAGGAGCTGAAAGATTAAGAGTTTTAGGTAAGAAAATGAATCATTTAACTTGTTTGATGCTACTCTGTGCATTTTAGAGGAGAAGCAAAATGGTGTTACGAACTGAATATGTCCTCCAAAAATTCGTAGGTTGAAATTCTAACTCCCAAGGTAATGTTATTAGGAGGTGGAGCCTTGAGGGATAATTAAGTCATGAGGGCTCCACCCTCATGAATGGGTGTAGTGTCTTTCCGAGGGGATGAAAAGACCAGAGCTCCCTCTCTGTCATGTGAGGGTACAAGATAGTCAGCAGTCTGCAATCTGGAAGAGGAGCCTCACCAGAACCTGACCAGGCTGGCCTCTGATCTCAGGCTTCCAGCCTCCAGAACTGTGAGAAATCAATTTCTGTTGTTTATAAGCCACCCGGGCTATGGTACTTTGTTACAGCAGCCTGAGCTGACTAAGACAAATGGTGTCTAGAAGAGTGATTTAGGTCAGTTTCCTGGATTCTTTTAAAGCAAGGCAGTTGAACCTCCCTGAGTCTGGTCCCCTAGTGGAAATTTCTCAAGCTGTCAAGTCTTTTTGGAACATGTTTCAACACTGAGCTTTGTGTGAGAATGAGTGATCATCCAAAGAAGTCTCAATTAGCACATTCTGTTCTCACAGACTGGCAGTCGTGCTTGACACATTCCAGACTTGCATATATGATGCAGCAATTCCTAAACCTGGTTGCAATTGAAGAATCATCTAGGAAAGTTCTGAAGGCTTAGGTTCATAGTTCCAACCCTGATTTACTGAATTGATGGTGAAAACACTGAGAGTTCATTATTAAAAATAATTTGCAGAAATGTCTATGATCCCGCTATTGGAATTATTGAATTTGAGCACATGACCAATGAATATTTTATGGTTGTACACTGAAATAATCCAGCGTGGTGATTTAAGCGTCCTAGAACTCAAGCTGACCTGGCTTTTAACTCTTGTCACCCACTAGTTTTGTGACTTTGGGCAAGTTGCTGGTGTCACTGAACCAGTTTCCTTTTCTGCTCAATAGGACTAATAGCATCTCCTATCTCAAGTTGTCCCTAAGGTTAAATGAGACCATGTTACATCCACTTATCACAGCCCCTAGCACAAAATAGTACTCAGTCAACAGTAGGTGCTGCTGCTGCTGTTACTACTCGTACTGCTCTTACTATTAATGCTAACACTACTTTTCCTTCTTTAGCTCCCTGAGATTCACTGTAGCACAGTGATTAAAATCTCAGGCTCTAGAATCAACTCATTTTTTACCCAGTTTCTATCCTTTACTAGCTGTGTAATTTAAGCAACGTATCTAGCCTCTCTGTGCCTGCTTGCTTAAATATTTATAAATTTGGTGTAATAGGAGTATCTTCTGAGATTGCTAAAAAATATTGAATGAAATCATCTATGTAAAGTAGTGAGTTGACTAAAATACTAAGTGCTAGGTGCTATCTTAAATTAGTATTATTGTAAGGCACTTTTACTTGAAATTATATTTGTCTTTGCATTATTATTTGCACTCTGCATCTTCTTTATCTTCCATTACTCTTGTCTCTTTCTTGTTCTTCATCTCCTCCCACAATCAGCTTATCTGGTCTATTTCTCTATTTCTCTCTCAGTACACATACATGTCTAATTTCCTTCCTGGATGACTCTTAGACCTTCATCTCCAGCCTGGTAACTTCCTTGAATGCTGGATCTTCTTCATCTGGATTTCTGCCAGCCTCTCAAGTTCATTGGATGTGGAATGCCTATCATGGTCAAATGCACATATATGTAAATGTATGCACATATATTCCATCACCGTCACCCCCCACTCTCCCACTTGTGTTTGCCCCTGACTTCCCTAATACTCCTTACTGGCCCCATTATACTCTCCTGTTCCATTCTCAAAACTTTAGCAGCATCCTGGCCATCATGAGCTCAGCAGAGTCAAAAGATGGAAGTGATCATTCTTATACGGTCTAATGGAGGCAAAAATGCAGAGTGCAGAGATGATAAAGCCAGGTGCAGTCTAATCCCTGTTCAGTGGTTTACCAGTGGTATGATCTGAAACAACCCCCTTTGTCTTTCAGGGCCTTACATTTTTTCTGTCTGTAAAATTAGAGTTACCCAGAATTTTTAAACCATGTTTCCAATGACAGAAGCTTTTAAAAGTAAAATGTAATACATAATCCCAATAAATAAAATAGATAAAGACCAAGATTTCTCTGGGTTGTAGGCGAGGGTATTAGTATGTTCTCACCTTGTTAATAAAGACATACCCAAGATTGGGTAATTTATAAAGAAAAAGATGTCTAATGAACTCACAGTTCCACATGGCTGGAGAGGCCTAACAATCATGACAGAAGGCAAAGGAAGCACGAAGGCACATTTTACATGGCAGCAGGCAAGAGAGCATGTGCAGATGAGCTGCCCTTTATAAAACCATCAGATCTCATGAGACTTATTCAGTCACAGGCACCGCATAGGAAAAACCCACCCTGTGATTCAGTTACCTCCAACTGGATTCCTTCCATGACACATGGGGACTATGAGAGATACAATTCAAGACCAGATTTGAGTGGGGACACAGCCAAACCATATCAGTGAGGATTTGAAAGGGAAGACTTGAGACTTGGAGTCTTAGTATAGTTTGATTCTTTTCCCCTCTGGATCCTCTGGGGACCACTTATAACTTATTTTTGAAACCCCTTAAGTGGATAATCTTTTTTTAAAAGTCTATTGATCACTTGCTATGATCTAGGTACCATGCTTGCTGTGCATTATTATATTTACACCTCACAAACACCTTGTATGGTAGACACCATTTTTATCACCCCTGTTTTATAGATAACACAGTTGAGCTGAGCCATATGGAGAGGTGAACCAAAGCATGGCTGACAGCTAGAATTCCCAGCCAGGCATGTTGGACATAGAGGGCTTTACCTTAAAGCCCTATACTTGCTGCCTCCTCTATTTTATCTCATTTTCAGATGAGGAACATTGCCCAAGATCAAGTGCCAGTAAGTGGTAAGGCCCATGTTCAAACCCCTGCCTATAGACTCCAGCCTCAGTGCACTTCACTACATGTAAATATGCTCCTAAGACCTTTCTATTCTCACAATTTATGCTTTTCTCTTTTTGCAGAAATGGGATTTTCTGTTTTAATTCTTGGCTGCTGTAGAGGGAAACTCAAAGTCTTCGAGCTATCCTCTGGTTTAAAACCACTTTGGGCCAGGCTCAGTGGCTCACGTCTGTAATCCCAGCACTTTAGGAGGCTGAGGTGGGTGGATCACCTGTGGTCAGGATTTAAAGACCAAACTGGCCAACACGGTGAAACCCCATCTTGACTAAAAATACAAAAATTGCCAGGCGTGGTGGCACACACCTGTAGTCCCAGCTACTGAGGAGGCTGAGGCAGGCGAATCACTTGAACCCAGGAGGCACAGTTTGAAGTGAGCCAAGATTGCCCCACTGCACTCCAGCATGGCCAACATAGTGAGACTGTCTCAAAAAAAAAAAAGAGTGTTTTGTTGTAGCAGCTATAAAACAAAATGCCTGAGGAAAAACGTGGTGTCATCTCATACCCAGATCATTCTATGCAAGAGAGAGAACTGGGCACTTCCTGTTAATTCCTTGGTGCATCATGAGTCACTTCACTGCTTTAAAATCTGACTTTGCAAAGACTCAGGATAATTGTAAACGTCCAAACACTTTGGCTTAATCTTAGCATACAAAACTCTATGATGGCATCACTTAAGAACTTAACCTCTACCCTAACGCACTGCATAGTTACTTAGACAGAAGACTGAGAAACGATTGTAGTTTTTGGTGACTTCAAAGCAGGTGCATGTTTTCATTGTTGTTTGCAGCTATGTCTGTGATATTTCACTTAGAGCATAATATAGGGTAAAATCTGTCTCTCTCCATCATTAGGAACATTTACTTTTTTATGTGAAATGCAGGAAGGAAGCATCAAAATAAATATCATTGCTGCTATCAGTGCTAAAGAGACTTGAAAATGACCACCCCACAAATCTTGCATCAACCCACTCAGTGAAATGAGCCAGTGTGTTACAGAAATGAGCTTCCTGTCAGCTGGGTTTCAGCCATATGGTGTGGAATGACAAGTCTAGGCAGTTTCCTTTTCAGCATAATGAGAAGTTTGTCTTTTTGAGTTGTCAGACTGTGTAAACTCTTGGGAGCTTTGAATCTGGGTGCACATTTCATGGTAGCATCTAACATAGCTGGGTTTTATCCTTATCAGGACCACTTAGGACCTGAGTGACTATATTCAAGTGTGTTTTCTCCCTAAGGTTTAGTTTCCATTTGTATAGAAAAATAGAAACAAAATAGCAAACGGAAGGAAGAATGAATGAATATAATGAAAACCATAAGTAAATGTTATATAAAAAGTCAATTATTCAAGTTGATACTGACGAGTAGAAATAAGCAGTAGAGGCCTAAAAACATAATGCCTCTTGTATGTAGTAGCTTTACTTGTGGATTCAGAACAATTTTTTAAAATTTTTCTCTGGAGAACCATACTCACCTATTTAGATTTTAGGACAATAACACCTTTAGCACATTCAAGGGATCTTGAATAGTATGGCAAAAAGACTAGAAGTTCAGTTATTTGGAAACTTTTGTTCTGGAAAAGATACGGAAGGAACAAATGTAGGTAGACAGTAGTCACTGATCTCTCATACATGCATGACTTTTCTGGGGAAAACAGAGCATCAAAGAGCCATGCAGTTGAGGAACTAAAAACACAGGTTTTGTGGCTAACTGTATATCCTGGTTTCTTTGGTCAGCTAGAGCTTTGGGTATGTTGCTTCACTGCTCTAGGGAACCTCTTATAATTCTGTGACATCGGGTAATAATGCCTGGTACTCCATGCTGTTGGGAGTCCTGAACTGTATTATGTATGTAGAGTTAATAGTACAGTATGTGGAACATAGAAAGCATTCAGTGCATGCTAACTGTTGTTGGTGATGAATTTTTTTTCAATCAACACATTATAGTCAAACATATTTATGGGG